GGAGATTTTAGCGACAACGCAGGAAATTTTTTCGACTCGTTAACTTACAGTCATTTTCCACCCACCAGTTTCAATATTAATGTCAAATAATTAATATTTCCCGAGTTTTCAGCTATGTTGACCCTGTCAATCTGCTTCCTTGGACTGGCATATGGCGTAGACTGCTCGACGCATGGTTTGGCACTGTTTTTGCTCTGCATGATTGGTGCAGCCTTTGGTCTCTCCATCAGTGGTTTCCTTACAAGTCTTCTCTCTTTGTCACCGAATTTCATTGGCATTCTCAGCAGTACTTCGCAGATTATTGGTGAGTACATACAAGGGAAAATTCATTTTGATTATTCCCTGATTCGAACCAACTCTTATAGGTTTCGGTGGACGGGTGGCTACTCCTCAGATAATCACTTTTTTCAAGACAGTGGTGAGTAATTTGCTCAGGGTTAACCCCTTCACCCCTATTGATGGTCACTTGTTTTCAGGGTACGGCCGAGGAATGGCGAGGAATCCTGCTGGTATACTCTGCCATGACCATCATATCAGCAGTGCTGTTCTTCCTTTGGGGTTCAGGTGAAGAGAAAATGGACGCAGGTCTCTTTATGAAATAATTCCTTTGAAAGTTCTTTTGCAGGAGATGTACAACCGTGGGATTCCTACCGAGTCACTCCGTCCGGATCGAAGGATCCACCTGTTGATAGCAAACCACTAGTGGATCAGAATATGCTACCAGAATCCGCAGAAGCCTAGCTTTGGGTCAAAACCAGCTGAAGCGAGTTCTAACACGGATCTCTTAGTCACTGGGCACCCTAGTGATATTTATTTGCTTACATATGATCTGTCTTAATTAAGTGCATCAAATAATGATCTGTTCCCAAGAAATATGAGAGTTGTTCGATTGGACGAAATATAAGAACCGTTTATTTATTATGCACTGTTGATTTCTGGTTCCTTTAAAGGTAGTTTTACATGTAAGAATCGATGTAGATAAACATTTCTTGAAAATACCAAGTTCTCAAGTTAGAAACCACAATCCGCTCACTGTGATACTCTCAATTAGGTACTTGTGCAGAGGTAACGTCGTTCTGCTTCGAAGCCAGCGGTCGCAACCGCGATAGGTTTTAATTCACAGGTAAAGTATGAAAAGAATAAAGCTTTGCCGTGATTCAATGTGCTCTGTTGCCGTTGATATGTTTGTTTGGGATGCGGCACGCATTCTACTTCCATTTGTACATTCGTAGTGGCGTTTGAATGCGATGTGGCCTATACAATGACTTGCGGGGCCAGCCGATGTACAAGTCAGTGTTTTTATCCTCCCAGACAAGTCTGGTACCAATTAACCGACCCCGGAGGGATGGAAGGCTTGGTTGGCCCGGGCGACTCACGACCAGGTGCGATGTCGATCCTAAAAGCGAGCCGCTGTTTAAGGGTGCACTTAGCCACGATACACCACTTCGGCGCCCTAATTTTACTCAGGTATTCTCCAATAATAGATATTGGGGGTAGAGATTATAAGACTAGCAGTTATTATATACCTTGTTGAGGCTGAACTGGGGGTTGTGCACAAGTAAGGAGTATCAGAAAGAGTTGACTTCTAGAACTACCCGTAAATGATTGCCAGTTGCCTGCGCAAGTGGTTTTGAGGCTCGTAGGAGCGATTCGTGAACAACTCAGGCAACAAGATGAATGACCAGTCTTCCAAGTGGAACGAGCAGTGCAAGTGATACAACTCCTACAGCATTTCTAAGGAAACCCCTACCGTAAATTACCTACCGTAATTTGGAGTCTAAAGAGGGGAAAACATGCTTCTACAAATGTTGACAGACTCCCTCAGAGTGCGGGACGATGCGCTTTTCACAGCGAATACACTCCTAGCGGCCCTGCATGGTCGTATCGGCGGTACTCGCGGCTCTACACGGTCACTGGCTGACTGACACCTCGCCGTCGAACTCCAGCCATATACTCTAGCAGTTTAGCAGGGCAGAGCAGAGCGACTCGCCAAACTCGGAAATCGACGGGAAGAAATTGAAGGGATATGTTCAGGAACATAGGCGTTATACCGTAACCATTCGACGGTGGAACATGCCACAGTAGCCTCACTGAGTGCTGTCGCTCGCACCTTAAGCACTAGCGTTACGCTCTGAAGGCTTGCAACTGTGCTCGGTGCTAACGCGGGTTACATCATACCATCCTGAACTTATAATCTAGTGAGAATGGGAAGGAAAGATAGCATTTTACGAAATTCGAGTCATTTCTCTTGGTATCTTTGCTTAATTTCTGCACAAATGACCGTTTTCTTCATGACCAAGTTACTAAAATCCGACTTTATGTCCTATTTGGAAAAGGAAACGGTGTTGATGACATTCGCCATATACGTTTTACGTTGTTTCTAAGCTATCTCCTACCACAATAATGTCCATACTGCATTAGCACCCCCATTCCAGCGGGAAGCGTTCCACAAGCTCCTTATATAATAGCGCTAAAGTGTAGAAGAAAACAGGATCAAGATTGCGGCACCACTTCTTTAGAAACCGATTTCGAATTTCTAGACCGTGCGGAGTCAAGGTGGTCGGTCCAATTGATGTGTGGTGTTATAAAGATTGAATGGCCGAATGCTTACTTGAACACCCGAAAAAGTCAGACATTTCTGAAAGTGCCCTGTGCGTATTTACTTAGGTAATACCCCTTCCCCCTTCCTCACCTTCCTTCCACACATTGAAAACTGCACTTTCCTTTTGTCAGTAAAGTTCACAAGCTAGTAAATGACTGATGGGATAACGGGAACTGACACCGCCATTGATAAAGGATAAAGCATTTGCCGTTGATCAATCCCTTTTTGGGATGCGGCACGCATTCTACTTCCATTTGTACATTCGTAGTGGCGTTTGAATGCGATGTGGCCTATACAATGACTTGCGGGGGCCAGCCGATGTTCAAGTCAGTGTTTTTATCCTCCCAGACAAGTCTGGTACCAATTAACCGACCCCGGAGGGATGGAAGGCTTGGTTGGCCCGGGCGACTCACGACCCAGGATTTGATCCCGGACCGCTCGCGTGGTGAGCGCGCCACTTGTCACTACACCACTTCCGCCCAAGCCAATTGATGCTGAGGCAAATGTATAATATTACTCGACTACCATTGATGATTTATTGCACTAATAACAATACATACACAAAAGCGTACAACAACGTACGTACAAATATTCGTCGCCAGGACGATGTGGATGGATCTAAAAGTGTTTCAGTAAAAGCTGTTCCACTTTGTGGAAGAGAGCTCACAAATCACTCATACCTGATATCTTCCTCTTATGTTATTGGGGTCTCTTGTATTGAGATTGATTCACGTCATCGGCGGCCTTCTCAAACATCCGTCCCAACTGTTCATTCATTGGTCCTAAAATTGTACAAGTGAGTTAGCAGCGACAGAAATCTTCGAAACAGCCCATTTCCACTTGACAACCTTTATCCGTCCCCGGTAAGGAATGGAAGGCTTTATTCCTCCCAGTGGAGTATGAATATTAGGGCCGTGGCAATGGTCATTTGTTCTTGACCAGTTAGAGCGGTAGGCGGGTGTAATAGGAGATTCTTTTACTGTGTATGGGTCTGATTTGAATTGAACTCGCCGGAGAGAATTGCAAACCTGACAATACTATGCGCTACGTAGATCATTTCGCCCCATTTTGAGCACTACGCATCCGATCTTCATGCAGAATCGAGTGAACATGGGGTTAGAGGGAACCTATTGTGCTTAGCTTCTCCAAGGCCAAACGTCATGATAATGACTTCATGTTACGTTGATAAAGTAAGGACACATTACTTTGGGGTAGTTATATATTGACGACGAACGAATCAGCCCCGAATGGTATGGAGATGAGTTGGAAATTTTTTTGTTAGATTCAAGGAGAGGGAACGGGAAGCTGGAAGAGGCTTTGGTTAGAGTGGGTGGAACACCGGTCACGAGATCAAAAATTGAAGATGGTTCGGTCGGAGCGTTATAATGGCCTTCTCCATGGCTCGATGCGTGCCTGTGATTTCCTCCTCTTTAAGAGATTGTGGCGCTTCATGTCGCAAGCGGGAGAAGGCCCAGAGGCGCACTCAGACCCGATGGGCAGACCCTCTCGTAGAGTTACACGGCCAAGTTGTGGCGCAGAAGAGCCCGATGCAGAGCGGCCTGGAGGATGTGCGACCTGCGTTTCTGGCGTGCCCGGGACGAATAGCAAATAAGAAGTGAGAAGTGCCGTCGAAGCTCACATCTCTAGCGCTCTACAGGGGGAGGGGCAAAAAAAGAGTCACTCTGACTCACATTCAAAACAGAATTAATTACACTTTGCCAAAACCAAACCAAATGAGCTCAATTGCATATGAAGAGCACATTCTATTCTATCAAAAAAATCACATAGGGGCTTTCTACACCGACGACATCAGAAGATTTTCCCACGGAAACATGGTTCGCGGTACGAGCTCAACGAGGTCGTCGAAACCATAGACGATTACGACGTCTCTGAAACGCTGGTCAAAAGCCATTTTGCATATTCAGAGCTAGTGTCCCTAAGAAGTCATTCACCAGTTATCCGATTGAAATTTATGTAGCAGCTTCAGAATGGAGCGATTATGTAGGCCTCCTTGAGCTCGACGGTGATGACAGATGACGTCATATTCTGGAGACGGTGAAAGCAGCGAAGATGGGCCTGATTCTGCTTATGGGGGGACATCTAAGGAATAATTCGCCGTATAACTCCCAATAACAGCGGCATCCCTTGGCGATGAGAAGTTCGATGATATGCGCCATGGGCAAAGTGTCTTTTTGGCCCCGCTAATATACTTCTTCTCATATCAGTTAGATCATCTAACCCCCAGGGATGATGAGGCACTAATGACGTAGATACCACCAACTTCTCTCATCACACCAGAATGTAGTGTGCTCAACGGCGTGTGCACCTCTTTACAACCAGCTGTTATTTTCGTAGTCACTCTTCCCATTAGTCTCCTCCACATGTTGCATTCAAAGTGACCCTACAAACTTAAGAATCGCATATGAAGAATTCCTATAAGGAATTTGAATAATACCGGGACCAGCATCTCTTATTTATTCTTTCATCAATTTCGTACCCACTTTTAATTTCACTCGTCTGACGCATTTCGTGATAATGTAGAGGGGAAGAACCAGCTTTATTAGCTTGCAATAGTCATTTTCTTTTCAGACGTACCTAAATTCGCCTCAGCCAGAGAATTCTCTGCGCTCTGCTTTATGGCGCGAAGTCCACGATCGACTCCTGAATGGCTGGAATTTCCTTACTCGAACTCTTGGTTAGACTTTTTAAGAGATCTTGGTTAAGAGTGCCAACCCATGGGAAAAAGTAGAACAGAAGGTTCGAATTGGACAATCCACGCCACCATCCGAAAAGTCACTTAGGAGGACACTTCCGACCTACCTGTTCTGAGTTGCTGCCAGGTGTTCCTTAGCTGATTTCCCATTAGCCGGACGTCCTGGTCAAGACCAGTCTCGTCCAATGACGCCTTGAACTTGGCAACGACGTCTTTGATTGCAGCCAAAAGTTCAGCGTTCGGCTAGAAATAGTTCATTCTTTCGCCTCTTTCCTTTTCCAATAATAATCAAATTAGTTTTATTAATCTTTCTAGGTGTTACAACTACTTTTCTAATTGGCTGTTAGCAGGGATAAGTCATTAGGCGGACAGGTTACTGGGATGTCGAAGGACATGTACTCGGCGGGAGTCGTAACATAGATGGAT